CGTCGCAACTGCTGTCACTTCTCCGACGAGCTGTGCCGCATGTTGGGGGTGGGAGGCATCCCGCAGTGGACCACCAACATGGCTGGGACGGGCGCAGGCCTCGATGCGAATCTGCGCATGATGCAGAGGGTGATGGCGAGGGGAGAGCCAAGGCTGTGCTGCACGGCGGAAGAAGTGGCGGGGGACCACGAAGAGTTGGATCCCATAGTTGAGTCCATGCCGGCCCTCCCGCCACGGCATTGCCAGAGTCGCGAGGGCCACACCCGAGCCGATCGCGGTCGGGCTTCCCGCTGACAGTCCTGCCATCAGAGGAGGCTGCGCGTGCCCAAGAGCCAAGATCACGTGTTTGGGCATCCCGGGAGGAGTTGGTCCTGAACCCACAGTGGGTTCGGGGGACCCGAAACGGCGCAGTGACCACAACGTGTGGTGAGTCAGTGGGGATTCGAGGTGAGCGCAAGGTTTTGGGACGTGGCTCGCCCTCCGAGGATATCTCAGGCAAATGGGGTCTCCAGGGCCCCGAAAGCGTGCGGTGAGGGCCCGTGCGGGTCTCGAGGTCGCCCGGAGGTCTGGCACCGCACCGTCTTGGAATCACCCCAGGACCAGCTGCTCGTCCCGAGTCGCTTCCTGACAGCCCCAGGGCATGGGGCCTGGGGGGAGGGGGAGGAGGAGGAGGAGGAGGAGGAGGAGGAGGAGGAGGAGGAGGAGGAGGAGGAGGAGGAGGAGGAGGAGGAGGGGAGGAGGAGGAGGAGGAGGATGAGGATGAGGATGACGAGGAGGAGGAGGAGGAGGAGGAGGAGGAGGAGGAGGAGGAGGAGGAGGAGGGAAGGAAAGGAGGAGGAGGAGGAGGAGGAGGAGGAGGCCGAGAGCGTCGAAGATCCTTCGGGCCTCCTTCTTTCACGGGGATTGCTCCGCGCGATCCCGAGCGGGGCCGGGAAGCACCCGTTTGTGGGGGGGGGGAGGGGGGGGCGGTGGGGGCTATTGCGAAGGCCTTACGGCCAGTGCCGCCGACCCGAAGATGAAAACGAGCGGGGGGGGGAGGAGGTGGAGGAGGAGGAGGAGGAGGAGGGGGGGGGGAAGAGGAAGAGTGGAGGAGGCGGATGAGGGAGGAGGAGGGGGGAGAAGGATGAGGAGGAGGAGAAGGAAGAGGAGGAGGCAGAGGAGGAGCAGGAGGAGGGGGAGCAGGGGGGTGAGGAGGAGAAGAAGGAGGAGGAGGACGAGGACAAGGAGGAGGGGATTTGCGTGGTGGGCACCCGGTCCGTCCGAGTGAAATGGTTCAAAGCGCTCCAGGATCTGACCCGAGCCCGACGCCCCAGATTCCGAAGTCGTCCCTCTTGTAGCCAAGCCGATGGCAGTAACAAAACAGGTTCAGAGTATGACAGCCACTCGCGGCGAGCTACACGCTCATTCCCGACTGTTTCGTTTTTCCTGTTCGCCTCTGCTTTCTGCAGTAGGCATCGGCGCAAACAGATTGCGCTGGCCTTCCTGAGCTTGGCCTCCCGCGCTCCCCCTCTCGGGCCGGACGAGAAGGGGGGGGTACGAAATCCAGGTCACCCGCGGGGGCGAGAAGAGAGTCCCACTTCGCGCGTCGCGGTCTGGGCTAGTCGTTTAGTAGTATTAGTAGTAGTAGTAGTAGTAGTAGTAGTAGTAGTAGTAGTAGTAGTAGTAGTAGTAGTAGTAGTAGTAGTAGTAGTAGTAGTAGTAGTAGTAGTTATAGTTAGTTATAGTAGTTATAGTAGTTATAGTAGTTATAGTTAGTAGTAGTAGTAGTAGCAGTAGCAGTAGCAGTAGCAGTAGCAGTAGCAGTAGCAGTAGCAGTAGTGGTAGTGGTATTGGTAGTGGTAGTGGTAGTGGTAGTGGCAGTGGTAGTGGTAGTAGTAGTAGTAGTAGTAGTAGTAGTAGTAGTAGTAGTAGTAGTAGTAGTAGTAGTAGTAGTAGTAGTAGTAGTAGTAGTAGTAGTAGTAGTAGTAGTAGTATTAGTAGTAGTAGTAGTAGTAGTAATGAGAGTACTGGGTAGTACTGGTGTCCTGGTAAAAGTACTGGTAGGAGTAAGCAAGTATAATTATTAGTAGTAGTAGTAGTAGTAGTAAGTAAGTAGTAGTAGTAGTATGTAGTCATTAATTAGTTCTTAGGTATGTAGGTAGTAGGTAGGTAAGTTAAGGTTAGGTAGTGGTAGGTATGTAGGTAGGTAGTTTAGGTGGGTCAAGTAGTAGGAGTAGTAGTAGTAAGTAGTAGGCGTAAATAATAGTTGTAGTAGTAGTAGTAAAGTAGAGTAGTAGGAAGTAAGTAGTATTAAGTAGTAGTAGTATAGTAGTAGTGTAGTAGTGGTGGTAGTAGTAGTAGTAGTAGTAGTAGTACTAGTAGTAGTAGTAGTAGTATAGTAGTAATAGTAGTAGTAGTAGTAGTAGTAATAGTAGTAGTAGTAGTAGTAGTCGTCGTAGTAGTAGTCGCAGTAGCAGTAGCAGTAGTAGCAGTAGCAATAGAAGTTGTTGCAGTTGTAGTTGTAGTAGTAGTCGTAAGATTGATAGCTGTAATAGTGGTCGTTGTTGTAGTGGTTGTAGTTGTAGCTGTAGCTGTAGCTGTAGTAGTAATAGTAGTAGTAGTAGTAGTAGTAGTAGTTGTAGTAGTAGTAGTAGTAGTAGTAGTAGTAGTAGTAGTAGTAGTAGTAGTAGTAGTAGTAGTAGCAGTAGTAGTAGCAGTAGTCGTCGCAGAAGTAGTAGCAGTAGTCGTTGTAGTAGTCGCAGTAGTAGCCGTCATACTAGTAGTAGTAGCAGCAGTAAGAGAAAATGGAGTCGAATGTGCATCAGTAATGGCAGTCGTAGTAGTCGGAGTAGTAGCAGTCGCAGTAGTCGGAGTAGTAGTAGTAGTAGTAGTAGTAGTAGTAGTTGTTGTAGTAGTAGTAGTAGTAGTAGCCGTAGTAGTAGTAGTAGTAGTAGTAGTAGTAGTAGTAGTAGTAGTAGTAGT